AGTGTTTTTGAGACATCACTGGTAGATCAGAATGTGTAAACATGGAAGGTTCTAGTACTCATAAGGCAGAGGACCAGACAGGGTAACTTTGTTCCCTATCACATGTCAAATACCACAAGAAATGTATTCTGCTTGTTCTGAAAAATACATGGGAAAGTAACAAAACAATCAACAACCCCCCTTGCCGTTGGTGGTTTGGCACTCACAGCGACCCTGCATAGCGTGACAGGAGCGGCCAGCCTCCTCCTCCCTTGGCATGTCGGTAGCAGTCCAGTGCTTATCCTTCAGAGCTGCTGGGCTCCTTACATGGAAACCTGGAACTACCAAAATATTTTGAGCCACGACAGAAGCACCAAAATAAATGCTTGTGTCCCACGTGACACTTTGAAAGGTTACCTTCTGACCTGCTCGGTAACTCTCTGACGCAGGCTTTTCCACTGAGTCTAGGTCCTTCTTGTGAGCCATACAGATTCTCTGGTCCTAGGTTAGACCCACCTGGGAAATCGGAACCTGCATTTTAACAAGGTCCTCAGGAGGTTCCGGGCCGGTTGCAGTTTGGGGAGTGTTGCATGCACGCACAGGGTCCATGCACAAACCACCGGGTGCCCTTACCTTGGGGAAGGCGTCGGGCCACACCCGGGGGGCTCCGTGGTTGAGCAGTGCCTGCACCTTGCGACGTGTTGGCGCGGGTTCAGACGCGCAGGCCGCCGTTTGCAGCGCGCGCCCCAGCGGCGCGCCCCCGCCGTAGTCGAGTGCGCCCGCGTCGGCGCCGTGCAGCAGCAGCAGGTGCGCCAGCTTGTGGCGCGCGCGGCCGCAGGCCTGGTGCAGTGGGCGACGCTCGTCCTCATCTCGCGCGTTCGCGTCGGCGCCACTCCTCAGCAGCAGCGCGCACAGGCGCAGACCGCGCTCCTGTTCGTCTGGTGTCCAGGGCGCTCCGCAGGCCACGCTCAGCGCCGTCTCGCCATGGCAGTTCCGCGCGTCTACGCGCGCCCCGTGGTCCAGGTAGAGGCGCGCGTGCTCGTCCAGGGCCCACTGAGCGGCCACGTGCAGCGGGGTGTCCCCGCCGGCGCTGCCCTCCAGGTGTACCGAGGCCCCGTGCTCCAGCAGCGCCTGCGCGCACCTGAGGGGGAGGCCAGGAGGGTTACTAGGGAGTTCTGGACCCCACACCCACACTCCTTTTACCCCTAGCCCTCTGCATTCCCGAAGGCTGTTCCAGGTCTTTAACACTCAATGGGCACATTTGCTACCTAGGATAGTGAGGAGGACCCGACAAGGAGGACAGGAGTCTGGAATGGAAAATGAGATCAGAGAACCTGACCACACTGGGGAGACTGGCTTTGATAAGGACAGCCCCATCAGTTATCAAATGGTTGCCCTGGCCACGTGTTGTCAGCGCGCACACACTGAGCTAAACCTTAGGATGGACCTGTAACTACTTGGTGCTACTTTGGAATCCCTTGGGTGTTGCAAAGCGTTCCACTGTTCAATGAAAGGCTGTCAGTTCTGGTCCACCAAAGGCATCAGAAGATCGCAGCCATGAAGACCCTCTGGTGTACATGTCTACTCTGACACACATGGGAGCGCATGAGTAGGAACTGGTTCTAGGACAGCTGGTGGTACTGGTCTCCCAAACTAGTAAGCAAAACCCAAGCCACTAGTTGTGTTCTTTTACGCTGGTTGACCTGGGCACTTTCTAGTTCTATGTTGTTGTTGATTTCCCCTTCTAAACAGTACCTTTCTTGTCCTAGGTTCCACTCCCTGCCCTCTGATCTTTACTCTTGAGCAGTCTTGACTCCTTATATGCACAGTAGTATGGGTGTATTCCAGGGGTTGTCTGGGTGACCTCATTCATGCCTCCCTGACATCTCTGTACAAACTCTTTAGGTCTCTATGTCCGACTGGACCTCTTCCTGTTCCCACTTGGAAGCTCCACCACATGTCCACATCTGAACTTGCCTTTTTCTCTTCAGCCTGGTCCCCTCCCTGTAGCAGCTTCCTGGCCCCCCCAATTCCTGGCTCTGGCTGCTCATTTAAATGGACCACTGATTTGCATTGCCTTCCTCCCTTTCTCCATCTCTTGACTTTGCTTCCTTTCTCCATCTCCATTGCCACTGGCTCTTGTTGAGATCAGATCATTTCTTGACCAAACATTTACAATACTCTCCTAATGTGTCCCACTGTGAATCTAACAAGCTCCAAACTACCTAGAAAGGGCTTTTCTAGTGTGAATTGGATGCTGTGTGCTTGCTTAAAACCCAGTGGCCCCCGTCCAAGACTAAGACTCAATGGGAATACACACTCTGATTGGTGACCGATAAGGGGAATTGAGGGAAAAACAGCAACGAAGCTGCGAGCTAAGCCCTACAATGATCAATAGACTCCTGTGAACCTGGGTGGAGACCTGGTTGGCCAGCAGTGTGGCAAGACCTGGGGACTCTTGGTCCCAGAGTCAGTTACACAGCCATAGAGGACTAGAGTAGAGAGTGAAGCATCCAGCTGATAAGAAGAGAGGGCATATGCACAAGAACACCCATACTTGCAGATAATACCCACTTGACCTGGCTTCAATGACTGGATGATCAGAGCTCAACTAGAAGAAGAAAGAAGAGGGAAAAAAGAGTCATCTGATACAATCTGATGAACTTGACCTATGGATGCAGTAACTCAAAAGAGGGAACAAATCTTTACAGTGAGGATTATTCCTACCCCCTCTGTGCACAGAGTAGACAAGGATGGGCAACTTGGACATTGGCTACCCAAAATGGGAGGGAGGGGCTACAAAGGCAAGAAGTGACTGGCTTACAAGCTTTCAAGAGGGAGCCTAGATCTAGAGGG